CAATTATGACCACGCTAACTCTTCCGAGTCCGGGTTGACTCGATACTTGTTTCAGATCGCCCTCCCATCTTTATAGGCCGTTTGACAACACTGTTTTTCGGCTTATTAGCCAACTTTTTCACCAAACACGTAACTTTTGTTTTCACGCGCTGAATTGTATAATAAGCAGAAAAAGTAAGGTTGAAGTTACTTTTTTGGCCGTATTGACTGAAGTTACTGTAGATGATCATTTTAGCTATTTTTACACATAATGTTTTCTTTATTTTATTAATAAAATATATTTTAAAAATAATTTTTCTTAAATCAGCAGAATCAGCCAATGCAGCTACTTCAGCCAGAACTTCATAAATTTCAGCAGAATCAGCCAAAACAATCGATTTTCATGATACCAAACAGGCTCTTAATTTTAACAAAATAGTTTTGAACGGTTTGGAGAGGCGCATTGGTTCAGCTCTTTCAGAATAATACTCCCTCAGCCCCCCTTAGTCATGGACCCGGTTCAGGCCGCCCGGCCCGGGACCGGCCCGGCCTGCCACTGTGCGGGCCCGGAACCGGCCCGGTTCTCGGGTCCGGGCCAAAAACTGTTTTTTTTTTTTTTTTTTTTTTCATTTTTTTGGGCTTTATTGAGTTGGGCTTGATGTTTAGGACTGGTTTGGGGGGTTTGGGGGGGGTGGGGGGGGGGGGGGAAGAAAAGAAAAAAAAAAAATAAACTAACCGGGTGGCCCGGTCCGGCCCGGCCCGGCCCGGAACCGGACCCGGAACCGGTGGCTACCGGTTCGGGCTCGGGCCCAACAAAACAGACCCGAGGCCCGGCCGGGCCTAGGCCCGAACCGGGCCCGAACCGGCCCGGGGCCATCCCTAGTCCCCCTAAGTTTGTCCCGTTTTACCTTTTTGTCCGTCCTACTAAGTTTGTTCCATACCATATTTGGTAACATTTGAGTGGTTATAATTCATTCTTACTTTATTCACACTTTATCAATTCAATATCAACCACACAATTCCACTTATTCTTAAAAACCACACCACACCCCGTTGTCAGGGACGGACCTATAGCTTATGCTAGGGGGGCCATGGCCCCTCCCAGCTTTTCATTTTTAAATTAGTAGTATTAGTTTTTTTGTACTTTTGCTCCCCCCACTATGTTATTCTTCATTGTTTCAATAGTTAATTTCTAGATAATAATTAAGATGCTATGATTTAGAAATTATAATAATGTATTATTTGCTGTGGTATTTTGCCAACTTTTATTTTTCATTTGCTCAAAAAACCTTACCACTTTTCATTTAGAACAGTGAATTTGTGATTCCACTTATTTCTCTCTTACCTACACAAACTTCAATTTTACTTTTCTTATTTTACACCTATCGTGAACTAAGCAAAATCCAATAGGACTGAGGAATTATAGTACTCCGTATTATTTTCATTTCACCCCGGCCCCCTCTTCAATCGAATCCTGGCTCCGTCCCTGCCCGTTGTCCCAAACTTAGAGGGAAGGAGGTAGTAATTAATATTTTAAACATTTTGCATGTCTGTCTTATGGCCACTAAAAGTAGTTATATATTTGCTCTTTAAAACTCCATATGCAATATTCCAACCATTTTTCCCCATCCTATTTATAAAAAAGTTTACAATAATGTCAATTGTCAAAGCTTGCAACTAATTTTATGAAAAAGTAAAATATAACGTCACAAAGTTTTTTTGCACAATAATTAGATAAGGTAGCTTCAATATAAATAAATTTTAAAAAGTGATTTGAATATGTATATAATGTAATGTGGTCATTGATGATTTTGATGATAGCAATCATGTATAAGTGTATTATTTTTTTGATGATAACAATCATGTATAAGTGTATTATTTTAATATTTGGTGATTAAATGATCATTTAAGATTGTAATGTTTTTCTTAAATTAGAAGAGACGTTCAAAAAAGATAAATGATTACTTTATTTGACGAAGAACAATTATAATATAAAATGGTGATTAATTCTACAAAAAGTGATATAAAAACCAGGACAATTATTTCAGGATGTAAGAATGTAATTCTTTTAATTTTTGTGAATATACTAGTCCACTCGTCTTTAAGAAAACATTGTAGTTTGATTTCCACGAATTTTAGGGGAGAAGCTTTTGTTTCTTTGACTTGAAACTTCCTCTTAGGGTGTTTGGATCTCATTCTTAAAACCGCTTCTACTTTTTCAGGGAGGAGAAGCGAAAGTTGGAGTGTTTGAGTGAAAGTGTAGAAGTATTTCTGGTGCTCTAATTTTCTCATAGAAGCAGTTGTTTTAGAAGTTGGGGGGCAGCTTTTGAAAAGTGATTCTGATTCTGTTTTAAAAAAGAAGCAGAAGCAAAATAAGTTCCAAACACCCCTCACAGAAGAGGTAAAGGAAAATTACATCATCATAAAACTATAAAAATTGGGTACATGGCCAAGCAGTGGAGGACCTAAGGGGGGGCTAGGTGGGGCGCGTGCCCCCGCTTCGAGCCTGGAATTTCACTAATAGTACTTAGCATAAAAACGAGTGCTCCGGCTTCATACCAGTATTTGATAATTAAGATACTAAAATGTTACGGTTATATAAATAAAAAATAAATACTCCCTCCGTTCTCTAATAGATGAGAGTATAACTTTTGGGCTTTGGCACAAGTTTTAAGAGAGAATTAATAGGGATAAGATAAAAGGTTTAGGATGTTTTCTTTTGGACTAAAATTTGCTGGTCTGGTCTGATCTGATCTGGACTGGTCTGGTCTGATAAACGTCTGGTCTAGGACTGAAAACAGTCCAAAAGAAAACATCCTTAGTGGGTTGTATGTCAAGGAAAAAGTAGGAAAAAGAATGAAAAAGTAGGAAAGAGAATGAGAGTATATAGGTATATTTATTGAAAAAATTCTAAAAATGGAAAGAAAGACATGTATTGGAGAACATCCCAAAATGGAAAGAGGGACATGTATTAGAGAATGGAGGGAGTACAAAATCTTTAAATTTTAGCTGAATTAAAATAAAAGATATCGAATTATAAAAAAAATTAAAAATTGAAAACAAAAAGTAACAAAAAAAAGTTAAAATGAAAAATAGTAGCCAATGTGCAGGCAACTAAAAGTAAGGAGTATTAAAAGTCTGAAAACCCACTAACATTTGGAAGACTAGAATGATAAAAGTCCAAGTTCTCCAAAAACAAAACCTCACGCGGGCGGTTTACGAAATGAGAACAAATGAGTTATTTTCTGTCGTACAAACTATTAGTGAAGTTTGTAAGAAGATGATTGAGCTTAAAGTTCACAATTATTTTCACTTAGTATATCGTCTGTTTGAGTTGATTTTAGTGTTACCAGTTGCAATGGCCACCGTTGAAAGAGCCTTCTCTGCGATGAATATTATCAAGACAGATCTTCGCAATAAGACGGGAAATGACTATCTTACGGATTGCTTGGTGTGCTACATCTAGAGAGATGTTTTTAGAAGCATCGATAATGAAACTATTATGCAACATTTTCAGAATATGGAAACTCGTAAGTTCGATTTACCAAAGTTGCAACAGTGAACTATTTAATACTCCCTCCGTCTCATTTATATTGTCCCGTTTTACCATTTCGAGAAGTCTCACTTAAATTGTCTCATACCATATTTGGTAAAGTTTGTGTGGCTCAAAATCATTCTTACTTTATTCTTACTTTACCAATTAATATCAATCACAGTCCACACAAACCCAATTTTCTTAAAACTCGTGCCACCCTCTTCCGTCCCAATATAAAAGGGACGGATGTAGTATGTAATTAACTATTATGTATAATTTAATACATTTTTTTTTACCATTTTTATTACATTTGGAGTTTTTATTATAGACGTACTTTGATGTTTAGTGTACCCCACTCTCACAAATCTCTGGGTCCGCCACTGAGGGACAAGGGCCCAAGATGTGTACACATCGAAACATCTAAAACATCCGTATATTTTTGCATGCAACATTAATTGACACACAAATTATGAAGGGAAAAGGGGCAAATAAGCCCTCGAACTAATAAAAAAAGTGCAAATAAGCCCTTTTATAGGAGGTTCCGTCTGGCCATCGTAATTTGGGGAGGTTCCCGGTGGAATTTCTTGATGAAAATTCTTGAGCATCTTATGCATTAAGTCTAGTTTAGTCACACTGAATTTGAGCTAAAAATTCAATCGGGAAGACAGTCAAATGAATTTTTGAAGATAACTGCGCAGTTAAACAACACAGTATATTTTCGAAAATCATTTGAGTGTCTTCCCGGTTTAATTTTTAGCTGAAATTTGGTATGGCTAAACTAGACTTGATGAAGAAGATGCTCAAAAAAATTCATCAAAAAATTCCACCGAGAACCTCCCCAAATGACGATGATCAGTCAGAACCTCCTACAAAAGGGCTTATTTGCACTTTTTTGATTAGTTTGAGGGCTTATTTGCCCCTTTTCCCAATTATGAATCTCTCCCAATAATTAAGATCTCATTTGATTTCCCCCATTTATTATCCAATGTTTACCAAAAAACAAATACACCCTCCAGATCATAATGAGCGTCTCGATTTAAGATAACTTATAGATTTATTGTACACTTTTTAAAAAGTATGAGATTTTTGGTACCGTAAGAATACTGTTTATTTTATTAAAATGGCTTTTGGATTAGATTTCTTTCAAAAAGTGAAAGTCAGATACTTGTACTGATACAACTCGAAAATGAATGTGAGACAGATATGGAAGAATAGTTTATAACTACCTCCGTTACTACCTTCGTTTCACTAACATTGGGAAAAAAGAGATTGACATAGTTATATACAGAAGTGAGTTTATGTGATTGAAATTGAATTGGTAAAGAATGATTTTGATTTATACAAACTTTATCAAATTTCTTATGAAACTATCTTAATCAGATTTTTTGAAAGAATAAAATGAAACAAGCTTAACGGAACATGTCAGACCAGAGAAGCATCTAATAAATTTAACCAATTCAGTTTTGAACCATAAGTTTCAGCAATGCGGGTACTGTCGGCGAGTTGGACACCATGGAGTCAGCTTAACCTTTTTTTTTGGAATTTAGTTTAATTAATTAATTAATTTATTTTAATACTCCGTAACAAGAAAGGCTGAAAGGAGAAGCAGCTGTGTAATAAGTACGTGGTAGTTGGCCAACGTTCCCCTTCCCCGGCCATATAAACCTCACCGGAAGATCAGAAACCAGAATCATTCAAGCTCCCCTTTACCGGTAAATGCTTCGATCATCATCTATTTGTATTTCGACTTAGTCTGGACTGCCCTTATTTTGTTTGATGGTCCAGTATGAGACATAATTACAGTAGCTGTTTCACAGAACCGATGAGTCCCGCCGGAGTGTTCGCCGGCGTATTCCTACTGGTCTCTCTTTACTGCGCCCTAGACCCATTTAAGCACGGCGCGTTCTCGGAGTTCCCTGACTTCGAGGTCTACAAGGTGGAAACGCCGGCCTGGTCGGAACTTCCGCTGGAGAAAGACACCCTGAATCTGCTCCAGAAGTCGGAAATCAAGTTCCACAACGAAATTCACGGGCCGGAGAGCATCGCCTTCGACCCCCAAGGGCGGGGGCCGTACACAGGCGTCGCCCACGGCAGGGTTGTGATGTGGAATGGCGAGAAATGGGTCGATTTTGCTTATACCTCCGCCAACAGGTGATCCGATTAAGTTCTTAATTGCCCGGGGTTAGGTCATGCATTTTGAAACTTCTAAACTATTCTATTATGAAGCTTTTGGTTCATTAAGTTGTAGAGTGTAACTGTGTAAGTTATCTAGGTAATATTGTCATCTAGAAGCTAAGTAGTGTGTGATTACATGAATGCAAGATTTCCCAATGTGTTTGATTGGCATAATATGAATGTAGTATAAATAATTTCTTTAAAGCAAATATAACCATACCAGATATAAGAGCATGAATCGATATTCCCAACATTAATTATCTGAATTTTGTATGTGACGGTGATATGATGTTACTCTGGAAATCTTAATACTAATGAGAAAATCTGACATGCCCTTCATCTAAGCATCTTAAAAATCAAACTAAATGAGGTAAGTAGACATTAATTTCGCGGATTGCCAAGGTAATCCTAGATTAACGGGACCAAATGTCTTGTTATAGTTATTTGCTTATCTAGAGTTGTCGGTGATGCCATTCTTGTCTTTGTATATGGTGTGGACTCTGCTCAGATCAAGCATATGTGACCCGAAGCCAAACTCAACTCCTCTGAGCTTTGTGAAGAATGAGCACATCTGTGGGAGGCCCTTGGGGTTGCGGTTTGACAGAAGAACGGGCGACCTATACATAGCAGATGCGTATTTTGGGTTGTTGAAGGTTGGACCAGAAGGTGGACTTGCAACCACATTGTCAAGTGAGGCTGAAGGAGTGCCTCTTACATTCACCAATGACTTGGATGTTGATGATCAAGGGAACATTTACTTCACTGATAGCAGTACTAAATACCGTAGGAGGTAATAAAATTAATTACCTTATTACCATGCCTTAGAACCTGTTTTATGAAATTATTATATCAAGATGCCTTCCTATTTTGGCTTGTAGGAACTTTTTACAGCTGGTATTTTCAGCAGATAATTCAGGGAGAGTTCTAAAATATAACCAAGCGACAGGAGAAACCACCGTTCTGGTGCGCAATCTCCAATTCCCAAATGGTCTGTCCCTAAGTAAGGACAGGTCATTCTTCGTCTACTGTGAAGGTTCCAAGGGCATGTGCGTCCTCTATCACTCTTTTTCTGGTTATGTTTGTGTGATGATGATGAATGGATAGTTTATCTCACCTTCCCTCTTTAAATGTCTCTTAAAATAACCACACTACCTTTACAGTTTTCACTAATAGACAAGTAACCTATAAAGTAGGGGGTATTGTTGTAATTCCAAGGAATAGGGCAGAAGTCATTGGTATGTCTCATCAAATTGCATCTTGTGGGTGCACAAGGCTATTTAATAGCACAAGGAAAATTTCAATCCTATCTGACACTACAACCCAAAAAAATTGCTAGCTTTTTAGGGTATGTTTATAATAGAATTCAGCATTGGGTTGTAGTCACTGAGCTCAGGGGCTAAAACAAGTGGGCCGAAACTGCCGGTGCCAGGATAGGATTCAGGATTGGGTGAAATTTAACCACAAGGCACACTGGCCAAAAATCCATCCTGTTAGCTAGTTCACCTCGAGGTTTTATTACCTATTGTCAAATTTGCTTTATGCTACTGATATGAGATTCTAACCGTTTGGATCATGGAAAATGCTAGGGAAAGGGAGAAAGGAATGCAAAGAAAACTATTTTCTTGTGTTTGGTTTTATCTTGTAGTATACAAAGGAAAATGAAAAGTGATTTGTATGTTAACATGATTTACACATATTTAGATTTCTTAGTCTTTACATAGTTTATAAATAAACTAAATGAGGTTCAACATACATCCCAAATAACTATTGAGGAAATATTTTTTTTTTTCTGCAAGCTTTCTTCCCTTCCAATATTTATTTCTTTTTGCCTTCTAGTTGCATTCCTTAATATAGTTCAAGTTTCAAGTGGAGCCTTAATATTGTTACAGTTGCTAATTAGCTAATGTGGCTGGCTATGTGCAGATTAAGCAAGTACTGGCTTAAGGGGGAGAAATCTGGGACATCAGAAGTTGTTGCTATCCTCCATGGCTACCCTGATAATGTTAGAACCAACGAAAGAGGTGAATTTTGGGTGGCAGTCCATTGCCGGCGAACTTTTTACAGTTACATATATAGTGAATACCCGAAGCTGAGGAAATTCTTGCTGAAGCTTCCCATTTCTGCAAAGCTTCAATACCTCATGCACATTGGCGGTCGCCTCCATGCAGTTGCTGTGAAGTATAGCCCAGAAGGTAAGGTTTTGCAAATCCTTGAAGACAGGCAAGGGAAAGTTGTGAAGGCTATAAGTGAGGTGGAGGAGAGGGAAGGAAAACTATGGATGGGGAGTGTTTTAATGTCTGGCTTTGCAGTTTACCAGTTAGAGTAAAGCGTTATAATTGTTTAGGCATTTGCTTTCTTTTGAGAACTCTACGTTTCTTATCAGCTCCTTAATTGTGATATATAATTCCATACAGTTCTTGAAGGGAGAACAAACAGCATTTGTATTCCTAAATCCAAATCCCATAGCTTGTGATGCAAGTATGCAACAATGTGAGTATATATTTCAGTCTGTTCAATAATACATGGACTTCTATCCATAGGATTGTAAATTCTAACAGGAACTGGCCTGGGCTTGTCCACCAAATGGGAGGCCCAATTTGGAGACCGGTCAATACCGACCCCGGTCTCTGGTGATCCTCAACTAGGTGTGAAACTAGGCCGATTCCAACTGGCTGGGTAAAAATTGGACGAGTCTGTTTTTTTCTGATTTTGGACCAGAACTGCAACCAAAACTGATGCGAAACTGGAATGACAACTGATCATGAGGGTAAAGTTTCAATTTCCCTATACTCTTACTCGAACCGGCCGGTTGGGAAACAGAACTGGCCGACCTCCTACCCCTATCCTTAGCCATATTTTTTTTGCGAATTATACAATTAATTGGAAATATATCGTGAACACTCTAAAGACGAATACATACACCTTGCTGTCATACACACGAAGAGGAAATATGTGGATTGGAATCAATAGGCATGAACACATTGTTTCCATGACGATTTCACTTATGATTTCAGTATCAAGTCACTCTCTTTGTTAATGTAACATCAAGAAATCTCAAAAAGATTTAAAATACTATTCATATCAATAAGATACATATTCTTTTAAGTTTTAAGGTATATATTCAGAAGTAAAGACCTTGAACCATGCGAAATCGGAGTGTTATAGTCAGTCCCTAACTCCCCCCGTTCCAATGAGTATATATTTGGGTCACTTCTGGTCTATTGATCTTATCATTAATTTTGTTTAATTTCTATAGTTTTTTTTTATAGGTGTTCATAGGGCAAGTGGTCGACAAGGCCGAAAAATGGTAAAACTCATTATTAAGCACCGAAAGTGAAAAAATGTTGTGGATAAAGTTTTCAATTTTTCTTCTAATGATGCCTTTGAGGAGCGTTTAGTTCGAGAAATGTGATATTACTTTAGGTAATGTGATTACTTTCAAGAAGGTATATGAGATCACAAAAGTATAAAATTACATGTGTAACAAGATTACTTTGGAAACGTGAGAGAATGAGAGATCACATGACTGCAACATTGCATGGTATAAAATTACATGTGTAACAAGATTACTTTGGAAGTTGGAAGACAGTGCCTGTTTGAGATAGTAAAAAAATAATATTAATGTTTTTTAAAAGGTTAGTAGAAAATTATCATGGTAATCTTACATTACCTAAGAGACTCAATCATGCTTTTAAATAGCGGTCCGCTAATGCTATAGCGGTCCGCTAATGCTATAGCGGTCGCGGCAGTTTCCGCTACCGTTGCGGGCCGCTATTGTGGTGTGAATTTTAAATCACTTAGAAATCCGCCAAGTAACCGTAATGCTACCACTACAGATCCGCTACGCCGGCCCCTATAGGCCGCTACCGGCCGCAACTGGCCGCAATCGGCACCGCTGGCACCACATCACCAACTGGCTAATGTATAAATGTGTAAATGTTGTGTGCATGGTGTGAAATAAATGGTGGTGCATGCAGTGAAACTCTAATGTAAATGTTGCAATGTGTAAATGCATTGATGGACAGTGTACCCGGGGGTAGCTTATCCGAGGGGTTATTATGAGAATAACTTAGAGAGAAGTCAGCAAATAGGAGGAGAGAGAGTCGATTGTATTAAATGAACTCAGCGTGTGTTGGGATCTGGGATCCTTTACAATGGGGAAATGGGGTGCTATTTATAGTAGCAATAAATGCGATGAGAGTACACGTGGCGATAATCCGACGGCCGAGGGGTCACCTCAATCGGGTGGCACTGGCAATCGCATGTGCTCCGCATTGAATGCGGTGGGTGGATGTGACGTTGCATTAAATGCGGTGGTTGCTTGTCTCCAAAGGGAATCTTTTTCGATGATTGAGTTGTTGGCCGAGGGCCTGTGTAGCCGAAGGCATGGGAATGCCGAAGGCTTCCATGATGCCGAGGGCAGCAGGTGCTTGCCCGAAGGCTACTTGTAGCCGAGGGCTACTGTTTTACGTCGTTTTCTCCCAGTAGCTTCGTATGCTCGAACATTGGCGCCCGGTGTATTTTGGAGCCTTCGGCCAAGTAGGCCGAAGGCAGCCCAGTGTGAATTTTGGACTTCTTTGAGACTTGGGCCGCTGTATTCGGGCTTCGAATGCTCCTTGGGCTCAATGGGCTTGTGTAGGAGAAATAGGAGTCTATGGGCCGAGGGTTCCTGGGCCATATACTCCATCAGGAGTCCCTCACTCCTTTTGCCGAAAGGCCTTTGAGGGAAAAAGGAGTAATTGTGTTGATTCTCCCGAAGGCTTTATTGTTTTGTTGGGTGCCTTTGACTGACCACTTGTCTTCTGCTGTTGGCCGAAGGCTTCCCTCAGTCCCTCACATGTTGAGGGTTTTCTGAGGAAAGTGTAAATAACATCTGCATGTGGTGTGCTGAGGGCTGCTCCATTGCCACAAGTGACTTGTGGAACATTTCGATATTTCGCTTCTGCCGAAGAGTATAGTGAAGTATGTGCCTTAGGGGTTCTCCTTTGATGTTTTCCTGAAGGCTGCATGTGTCACTTGTAAGTTTTCGCATGTGGACATTTTATTCTGTGTGATTCCCGAGGGGTGTATCCCAGTCCCCCACTCCTTTAGGCCGAAGGCATATTCGGGCTTAAGGAGTTATTATGTTTGCGTGTAACCCCGAGGGGTGCCTTTGGCCGGGGAGTGGCCACATTGATAAGCCGGAGGCTTATGCTGTTGTTGGCTCGAAAGCACCTGGTGAGAGTTGTTCACCGGAGGCTATAGGTATATCCCGATGTATGCCGAAGGCTTATACGGCTGCTTCCCCGAAGGTGCATGGTGAAAGTGGTTCACCGAAGGCTATAGTAGGTGATAGCCGTAGGCTACCATCTGAGGTTGCCTCAATGGTTCCCAAAATAGAGTCGTTGGAAAGAGCCGTTAGAGGAGAGGTCCACGCCTGGTTCTCATTGACTGATGGGGGGCGGGTGCCACCCATTGGGTGAAGTGGCGGCCCGTCATGATGACTTTTCGAATCGAGGCCCTTATTTCGAGGCTGGGGAGCCTATATATACTCCAAGCCCTAAGCCACTTCCTTTGCGCGATTTTGAGTGTAACACCCCGGCCCCCTAGGACCCGAGGTAGTTACTCCAGACCTCTAGTACTGTCCTCACAAACCGCCACTAGCCTTTTCCGCGCACTTTGTCCTCACTCGTGCGCGCCCTGAGAAACTTCCCAGGGGGTCACCCATCCCAAGACTACTCCCGTGCAAGCACGCTTAACTTTGGAGTTCTGGCTAATGAGCTCCCTTAAAAGGAGATGCACCTTGTTGGTATGAGTAGTACTATTAATCCATTTATATTAAATCTCAAGTGTTACATTGAGAGATAGCGGAGCTCTGCCAAAATTTCTAGAGAGAGAAACTTTTGCGTTCGATCTAACCAACTTTCCGAGGTGAGTTCTTCATCTGTTCTTTGCTTCCTTAGCATATTTTGCTTCCCTCCTCCTAGATCTAGTGTTAGAGAATCTTTAGGCCTTAGGATTTTATTCCCTCCCAATCTCTTCCCCTACTACACCGAAGGATGTCCTCGGCAAGTGATTCTCAGAACATCTCGGAGGAGGCCCCGATAGGATCCGAGAGCCATTCGGAGGTGCAGTCCTCAAGTCCCCAGCCCTCGTCCCACAATGATTCAGATGTAGCGAAGGAGATTCAGAGCAATCTGAGGACCGAGGCCGAAGAGTTCGAGCAGATGGTGGAAGATGAAGAGTTAGCCCTCGCTGCCTAAGTGGCCGAGGAGGAAGAGGAGAAGGAGAGACAGACAGTCACAGTTGTCGTGTTGCCCCCACGAGGTGCCGGAGAAGAGAGCTGCTCTCGACCACTAAACCCGGAGCCTCTAAGGGTTGCTCCCGGAAAGAAGAAGCAGAGGGCCGTGCCAAAGAAGAAGCAAGCGGCCGTCGACGCCGGACAGCCGGTTGGGATACCCGAGGGGCACTCATACTTGGACACCACTGCCCTCGAGGTGAAGACCACGGCCTCGGGAGCCGAATGCCTAGCCCTCCAGGTACTCGTGGGGCCGTCGGCGCAGGTTGTGGAACCGGGGGCCAATGACCTGCTATCCCATCCTCCCAAGGGGTGCTTCTCGGTGCATATGCTGTCGGTGGAGCTGGGTCTCAAATTCCCACTCCACCCCTTCGTTGGAGAGTATCTGAGGTTTGTGAAATTAGCCCCCTGCCAACTTACGCCGAACAACCATTATTATCTGGCAGGATTCCTATCTCTTTGCCGCAGCCGAGGGGTGGTCGCCACGTTGGATCAGTTCTTCCTCTCCTTCAACCTCTGTCGGGGAGGGCACTCGCACGCCGGGGGTACGCCAATCTGCAGCAGGTTCCGGCATGGAAACTTTTCTCTGAGACCCCATCCTCTCACAAAGAATGGAAAGAGAAGTTCTGCTATATTCAGATGGCCGAGAATCCGTTCCCGGGGGCCTTGCGTAATCATTTCAAGAGACACCCGAAGGTGGGCAGTGCAGCCCTCGATAAGGCTGGGAGGAAACTCACTGAGAAGCCCAAGGGTTCTGACAAAGTGATCACTATCAAGGAGGCGACGCTACCCGAGGAGCTGTATCTATTGGGCTTCCGGCGATATCGCCTTCCGGGGGACAAAGGCGAAAAATACCCTGAGATTGACCGGGGGTATCAAAATGCCGGAGGTTGTAGCCGGGGGCTCTCGTTACTAGTACTTATAATTTTTGTACTTTGCTTGTTTTGATTCTAACCCCCTCTCAACTTTTGCAGGTGACATTATGGTCATGCAAGCCTTCGCGCTTTTGTCAAAGAAACTGGCCAAAGTGCCCAAGAAGAAGGAGGGCCCCTCCCAGCAAAAAGCTGTGGACGAGTTCTTCCAGAAGACTGGGGCCTCCCAGACTCCTGAGGGTGAGGGCCCCTCGATTGAAAAAACTGTTCCTCATTCCGGTGCTGATGCCGGGGGCTCCCAGGCTGGGGGCCTTAAAAGAAAGAATGCCGGGAAGGGCGTCATGCCCCCGGAAAACAACAAGAAGAAGAAGAAGGCCGAGGGGAATAA